TAGGTAAAAAAAACAGGGCTCAAGGAGGGACACATGGATCTCCCTGGGAAAGAGAAGTAGAATAGATTTTGCTGATGGAATTGGGGGTAGGTTGGAATGGGATCAGGTGGGGGTAGGGGTGGGGTGGAGAGAAAAAGTAAGGTGTGAAATAACTGGAATTGGAGGGCATTTGGGAGTTGATGTGAAAGCTAGTGCAGTGGAAACTCCCAGGAATCTACGAGAGTGACCTTAGAAGGACTCCTAGTAATGGACATTATGGAATCTGAACTAGCCATCTTCTGAAAGCAGGAAAGGCTTCCAATAGTGGGTCTGGGACACACCAACTCAGCCACAAAATCATCCAACTACAATTTGTCCTGCCTGCAAGATGTGCTGGGGTAATGGTGATGCACAGCTTGTGAGAGTGGCTAACCAATGATGGCCAGGAACTGCAGGCTGGATGGCCCAAAGTCCTAGAATAGAGCCATATAAGACTGGCAAAAAAAAAAAAAAAGAAAAAGGAAATGAAATGATTCCTAACAATATTCAGCTCTACTCATAGACTGGCACCTAGCCCAATTGTCATCAGAGAGATGTCCTCCAGGAATTGATGAGAGCAGATGCAGAGACCCACAGCCAAACATTAGGTGGAGCATGGGGAACCTCACAGAAGAATGGAAGGAATATAGGAGCAAGAAGGGTCGAAAACACAGCCCACAATATCAACTAAGCAGGGTTCATAGGACTCAGAGAGATGGCAGCAGCAATCACAGAGCCTGCATGGGTATGTACAAGATCCTCTGCATATGTTAGGGTTGTATAGCTTGATCTTATTGTGAGCTTTCTAACAGTGGGAATGACCCTAGCATTGTAAATAAAAGACTCACAGATAGATACTGGGGTTCAAGTTTCAAGCTGAAGACCAGAGAAGCAAAGCAGGCAAGCCAGTAGATCTCACCCCTTCCAAGCTGTAATGGCAATCCTGTCTCCACAAATCCTGAGGCAAAAGAATGAATTCCTGTCTCCTCCTTATGTTCCTTTCTCTACCCAGCCATATCCTCCTTTCTCCACCTCCCTAGTGTAGGATTAAAGGTCTGTGATCCCAAGGGCTGAGATCACCTTTGTGTGAGCTGTTTCTTTTAGGACCAGATCAATTTCCTGTAGTCAGTGTGGCCTTGAACTAATAAACATCTGTCTACCTCTTAATCCTGAGTCCTGGGATTAAAGGTGTGTATCACCATTGCCTGATCTCTATAGCTTGAGGCTGACTTTTCTTTCTAAATTCTCAAGAAAGCTTTAATAAGTCATAAATAATATATCACCACAAATGGGGGTATCTCCCACTCTTTTGCCTGCTCTTGGGACCACTGACCTCCTAAAGGGTTGCCTTGTCCAGCCCTGACATGAGGGTTTATGCTTAGTCTTATTATAACTTGCTATGCCATATTCAATTGATATCCCTGGAGGCCTCTTCTTTTCTGAAGGGAAACAGAGAGGAGTGGATCTGGTAAGAGAAAGGAGGTGGGGGGGTGGGCGGGTTGGAGGGTTGGGGAGAGGGAAACTGCTGTCAGGATGTATTCTATGAGAGAAAAATTTTTTTAA